TGAAGACAGTTTTGACTAAAGAAGCATTTATATCTCATGACGAAGTTGTGAATACCTTACCTCAAACCGAACTAAGAACAACCTCTGAGGCCGCAGTGGTTTCAGTTTGTTCAATTTCCTTTTTTTCTGCCCTCATTTTCCACCACCTGCCTTGACACCTCATACGTTCGCGTCTTAAGTTATTACCAGACTGGTTCTTGAGTCATCTTTTTTGTTGTGTTTTAATCTTTATTAGTTGCGTGTTTTCGAATCTGAAATAAATCCCAGTGAAACATTGTTCAGCGATGGCAGGGCTATATCTCAATCGTGTTATAAATATGCACTTACGCCTGAGAATATATATCCTTTTATGTGATTTGAATTTTAAATAGGACACTGGAAATAATGCCTGATTTGAAAAAAATCAAACGAGTTTCTTATGTCTATTTATCACTTAAATGAATGGGTGTTGTTTCGCACGCTTGCTAAGACCCAAATTTGTGCAGTTTTAAAATTTAGGGTAATGGACGCATTAGCCAAATGACACAACACTCAACCCCACTACTCCCCACAGAAAGTAATGTGATATCCATTTCACCTCTCTAGCAGCACTTGCTGGTTAATTTTTTAAAAAAAACACATTGCATTTCGTATGAGCACAAACCTGTATTAAGTTAAATTTCCTTTGTGCAGATAAACGTAAGTAAGTTAAGCGTTTGCCTTTGTTGATACCGAGGCTCATTCTACATAAATTTTGCGTCGCAAGGTAGTACAAAATTATCGCTTGTCCAACCAAGCACATTCACAGTGAACACTTTTATCATTGGATAAAAAGGCAATCCTGTAACAGGTTCGTTCTACAAATTATGACGAATGGTTTGCATGTTTCCATTTCTTGCTAATCGAACAGCAAACAGCAACCCACACCGGCTGCATATAGAGACCCTCTCTTTAATATGTGCCTTTTTTGTATTATTTAAAGTCAAATGCTACAACAGAAACATGTCAGGATTGCGTGGCTGCGCGTTAACCATGTTTGAAAAAGTCATGCATTGTTTTGCTATACCAACAAGAATAATCTTTCACTTCTCAGTCGATGTTAGATAAGTACTTTCCGCCTTCCGTTTTCCGCAACCTTTTATTTATTGCATGCTAAAAGAAAAAAATTATTAATATTGTTCTTAACTTAGACCGTTATTCATGAACAAAGTGACCTTAGCTACAAGAATCTACTAGCAATAACACTGCTACAAAATGCAGCATATCGATACTAAGTATCGACAATTGGTACCATAGTCGCCAAGGGGACCGGCGTTGCAAAACTCAATCATAAAAACATGCGCCGCGTTCATAATGCCATCTTGTTGTGCTAGTTTCAGATTAAGAATAGATTTTAAATCGTTGTGGCATACGAGCAAGCCCTAAATGCTGCTGTGAGTTTTAAGCAATTCTTTTCACTTAAAATGCGTAAATTCGATTTAGTATTAGGTAGCAGACCAAATGATTGTTTTTCGAAATTCAACTGTGGCTGTGTCGATATTGTCATGTACTTTCGTCGATGCTAATTCAACTACTACTATCGGCAGGGTAGCACCTGTAATTTATTACTTTAAATACTGGTTTAATATGGATTGAAGTCGCTAACACGGTAGCCACCCAAATATCTTGGTTAATGCGGCACTGACTGTTTAAAGTGAGCTCCATGTACCGTATTTCGAAGGATTATTAGTGGCTAGAGATTTAGCAATACCTAACAGCCCGTAACTACCTGAGAATAAAGGGAAAAAGACGACAGAGAACACGACTGTTTATTTGTGTCGAACCAGCCAAGTGGCTTTGTGGGCGTATGAGTACGCGTTCGTAACAGGCGAATACTGACAGAGGCCAATAACAAAAGGGGTAGGTCATTGGTCCACTCGGGCCCTCATGCACGCACACTCACGCGGGGTGGCTGTCAGTCCACTACAGATTAGTGGATCCGTGAGACTGCACGGATTACCAATGAACATCTGTTACGACCCAGGTACTTCAATAGATGCATCAACACGTCAAATTAATCTATGATATTCACGTTTGGACCCCATTACAAGCTAATTTATGTTTAGTTAGATATGCTCATATCCACGAAATTTCGAATGCGGGATCTATTCCGACACGTTTACTTAGAAAGCCAAATGTCGCGTAACATTTGTCAGCAAACACCTGTGGTGATTGCCTTGCTTTAAAACATACACCCTACCTAATCACTTCACTGTCCCGTATATGCATTATTTCCATTTTAACATATACGCCAGCCTCTTTTTCTAGTTTTATCATATAATGCATTCACTGACCACGTAAGTGAGACAGCATCTTGCTCTGTTAAAGCTACTTAAAGAAGCGAGCATTTAAAGTGCTTTTAATGTGTTTTAAACCGCAAAAATTGCAGGCCCCATGCATTAAATTAAAAATTCATTTGTTTCGCTTCCACCAATCTCACTATCAGTGGCAACAGTTTACATAAAAATTTATATCTAGTTACGTGTTTGTGTCTGTTGGTTATCGTTGATAAAAAAAAACACACCAATATGTATTTATTTGTTTGTTTTTTAATTTTCAAAGTGCCTTGCAGTAGCAAAATAAGCTTGACGCTTAAAAAATTCCACAATGACAAAAGTACCGCCTTTTAAGCTTGTTTTTTAAACAATACGTGATAAAAAAAACTCCCTAACAATGGGAACCCTATGTCATGCGAACCAATAGTCTACAAGGTGGTACAGACGTGCTTCACAAATTCACATTAATTTGTATCATTTCAATTATGGGATTTGACAGTTATTTTTCCGCTTCAAGAATGCATAGTTCGTTCTAGATCAAAAAGCCTATTTAATAGAGACGAAGTTAAGAGTGGTAGAAATTGTTTTAAAATCGTGATTGTTCTGTTTTTATCTTATTTGTGTTGGTGTGCGTTGAATGTAGTTACAAACACATATGCATTACTAAATATGTAAAAAAAAAGTTGCACGCGAGACGGTTATAAATACTAAATGGCCGGCATTGTTCCCACGACAGTTTTGCATTCTTGCGGAACCACGTGTCCGTGGCGAGCAGCAAGCGAACGCAGTTTGCAAGTTCGAACGAGCATTTTTCGTGAATTCACTGTTGTGGACAGACAGTCACCCCGCATGAGTGATGTGTTCCAATGACTCACCCTTTTTCTTATTGACTCCCGTTAGCAGTCGCGTGTTACGCACGCGTACTGATACGCACAAAAAGCGACTTAGTTAGAGTAACACTAATAAACGCTCGTGTTCTCTGTCGCCTCTTTCCCTTCTCTTCTCGGATTGAAACAGGCCGTTAATTAGAGGGCTGTAAGGTAGTGCCAAATTCGGCTACGACAAATTCGTGACCCTAACATGGACCATCAAGAAAGAAAACCTTCGATTACCCTGGAATTGGTCAGCCTAAAACAACCTCCATTCTGGCCGAATTCCGCTCTGTGTTGGTTCGCCGTTTTGGAAACGGAATTTTGTGGCGCAAACATTGTCAGCCAACATGTTGAACACTGTCAACTTGTCTCTACTTTGAGAAGCGAACTGGCTAACGAGGTTTCACACGTACCATTTCACTCCGACAACGACTTTGCTTTCGACCAGTTATGGTCAGCGATTCCAAAACGTGTGCTTCGGACCACATGGGAACTCATTAATCAATATTTATCCAGCCTATTCAGATCCTGAGGAAGATGCGTCGACTCTCCTACGGCGATCCTTTGCAAGGTGCATCTTGGAAAGGTTTTTTTCTCAAACGACTTCCAAGCAATACCAACCCATCCTTGACCCCATGGTTGGAATGTCAACACTAGAATAATAGGCGGATGCAGCTGACCATTATATTAGAAGCAGCGAAATCGACCTACATCTCCGAAATTTACCCAAGGCTCCGAAGTTAATCAAGTGCTTTCTTGCCCGCGGGCGCATGCTAAACACCTGTCTCTTTGAAGGGCCGCCTAGCCGGGATCAAAGCAGCGATCGACGCCTTGACGCGCGAGGGAAAAGATGCAACAATTCATTTATACGGAACTGCTCTTATTCTCGCCGAAAATCCTCTTCACGCAAACTTTGTCTGCGTAGCCCGACAGTGTAGGCCCCACTGTGTGTACACAGTCGGGAAACGAGAATGACAGGCAGTTGTGGCGTCGTTTGCTGATGGGCGCCCAAACTACCGCCTTTTCCTACCCGACAAGTCAACAGGTATGCGATTCTTGATCGACTCAGGAGCCGATATATCCGTCGTCCCTCCAATGCACTCTGAAACAGTTTCCAAACACCTTCTCTGTTTTCTCAGACGCCAATGGTTCCCCCATCCTCAACTACGGACAGAGATCTCTCACGCTCGACCTAGGACTACGACGCCAGTTTTGTTGGGTCTTTACCATTGCTGTGGTGACCCATCTAGCCATAGGAGCAGAGTTTCTCAATCACTTCCTTCTAGAACATAAGAACAAGCGTCTAATAGATCCCCTAACAACTTGTTACGTTATGCATCACGCGAAAACTACGTCAGCCATTTCTCGAGTTACACACTAGAGGTTGAAAATGGACCCCGCTTATCCTTACTGCGAAGGAAACGTGATTGAATTAGACACGAGTTGGGATACAAATCAGGTGAGCGTAAAGGGTAAAATCTTGGTTGAGCAACACAGCATTTGTGAACTGCAGCAAACCACTGCAGCGAATTTATAGTCGGAATAATGGTCGAAAATGAGCTAGATAAATCGAATGAGAGAGGTTCATAGGCCATTTAAAAACGTTGATTTTGAGCTTGTAGAACCCTAAAGGTGTTCGTGATTGCGGTCATCATTTTGGTGCCACCTCCGCCAGCTGCGATCAACCTGCGATGGATTACGAATCGAAGCATCCACCTGTCACTTTGCACCGGGCTATGATCAGAAGCCTGTTGATTTGACTATCACCGTCCATAACCAAAAGTGGATTTTCAGCGGTCACACAAAATTCACCTTTCCTCTTCCCATTTTCCTCCTACGGTGAGCCTGCAGTGTCCACCACGGCTTCGTCCTCCGCTGCTGGTGGCGGCTTGTCGGCCACGAGTCTCTTATACTGTTTCCAGGACCCTCTGCGAATTACTTTCCAGTCCAGGCTAACAGTCCTGAAAGGGGTCATGAAAAATACATCAAACAGATAACAAAGAACCCGCATGACAAGACTGAGGCATGGCCTGATCAAAGGAGAAGAAGAAATATTGATAACGCGTAGCTTAGCCAAGTTATTGGTGTAGAGAAGTAGTTTTACAAGGCAACTGGTCTTCCTTTCATATGGGGTCGATTAATGTTGATTTCTGAATAAACATATTTACGAAATATTAAAGTTTGAAAGAAATTCTTGTGTTGACAGCAATTCCTATTTATCAAGTACTACCTGCTCTGCTCTTTACGTGATTAAGTGAACAAACTCTTCTTATTGACATGTATTTAAGGTAGATGCAGAAACATTTGGGCTTCAACTGGTACATAATTACCCTAGATTTTAGTTTTTACCAGGATTACAATAACGAAGCAACTTTGAATCGCGTTGGATCCACTTGTGTGTACAATTTGCTTACCACCAACTTACAACCATCTTGTCAACAGCCAAGTCGGGAAACAGTGATTACTACCGCTTATTACGGTTTCAAATGCCAGGAGTTGCACAGTGTGTAAATGAGTGAGTGAATGACAGACAACAGATAGCAGTTACCAATGAAATAGGGATGAGCTATTGACAAATTCATGTCACTAACTCACTCATTTTTGATTGCTAACAGCCCACGGGTTGATTGACGCTCGTTAGTACGTTTGCTCCGTTTTCCCACACACTGACTACCTTTCAAAGCATGCTGTGAGCCCAGCGGGAACTTCACTCACGTTGACTCTGGCTGTTTCACAAAACTGAGCTATAAGTTAATGCACACAAACGCCAAACACGACACAACGTCACCACCTCGGTTGAGCTCGGAGATAAACGGTGCTGTCCATGTCCTCTCTGCTCATAATTGTGGGAATCGGGCTGGGGAAATCATGTCAGTTGTAACCCAGTGGCCCCGGCATGGCTTAGGTCCACATACCGCAACCCACGACAAGTAATCATGAGCCTGAGGAAAATGCAAAATAAGCGACATCGTTTATTAGCGTCCGGTCAGTGAGGTGGCAGTTTGTGAGGACACACTTGCGTGTATAGGGCAAAGATCCAAGTCCGTCATTATCTGATCATCATGAAATCATAACGAAAACATCCATTTTTGAAAACACTTACTGCAATGATAATTGTTATCCGATCCCACGAATAGAGCTACTGACAAACAAAAAAAATTATTCATTCGAATTGCGGAAACAGTTTCAGTATGTAAAAGATATGATGAAACAATAAACATCAGTGTAGGCCGTTCATAATGACAACGGACGAAAGTAAAATTGGAAACAGCGCCATTGCAGAGGAACCAGAGGTTGTTGGCGGTGTATAGGCTGTTGACGATACATAGGTTGTTGGCAATACAGAGGTCGCTGTCGTATAGTTGGCAGTACATTGATTTCGGTAGCATCCTTCGCCTTGGGTACAATTGCTACAACTGGGT